CTCACATGTTTGTGCAACAATAGAGCATTTTATTTAAATAGTCTGCAGAGCAAAACTGTGTAGAATTTTCACTTTTAATGGTAGCCTATTGCACGTTTTCTGAGGTTTCAGTTCGAACGCACATCTGAATCAGTTTATTCCTGTTCCTGTCATATGATTGACGACTTAGTGAAATTTTGAATAGAAGACAAAAAGACAAAACAAACAAAACAAATAGCAACAGGAAGCATTAAAACGATTTTGAACACTTTATATAGCCTAATAGTGTTGAAAAATACTCTTAGTAATGAATTTCGTTGGTACAATTTATATCTTTATTTTAATGTATTTTTTGTGGATTAGTTATCTACAAAAGGTGAAGTGATGTGCAAATACTTTTTCAATAATATTATTTTCAATAATTAAGGTATTACAAATTCAATTTAAGTGAGCCTATTATACCACAAAATATAGTACTTTTGACAGTATTCTTTATTTAAAAGAGTTATGAATTACAGTATCACAATACTAATTGGTATCACAAAACTTTAGCTGGTATAGTATCGTAACGTAAATTAAACGTATCTCGACAACCCTAATTACAATGATATAACTAGTAATGCTAAAGTGAATTATTGGCATAACATTTGAACATATTGGAGGGATTGTATGTTCTTAATGTGTTAAGCCGGTCACTAGCTTTGTTGTTTTAGCATTGTTTATATAACAATCCCTTTTTGGATTTAAAGTGAATCCTTGGCATAAACATAAAGAGAAAATTGTATGGTCGTAATGTATGAAGTATATTAACGGAGTAAAGCAGTATAATTATATTTACTACAGCTTAAAAGTTTCCTGCTAAAAGAAAAAAAAAAAGGTCTTAGAGGGGTTTGGCTATTTCCAGCCTGGTCTTAGCTGGTCTGGCTGGAAAATGACCAGCTAAAACTAGCTTGATCAGCCTGGTTAAAGCTGTACTAGCTGGTTTGACTGGTTTCCCAGCCTTGCTAGGCTGGAAATGGCCAAAACCCCTCTAAAACCAGGATGGTATAAGCTGGGGGTTTTTGAGCAGGGTTGTGCTTTTTATACTTAACCTCCTTAGTTTTTTCCACAAGTATAGAAATGCAGTAGAAAGTAAAAAGTTTAGCTACTTTTTAAAACGATGGTTAGTGTGGTTGCTATAATCAATCAATCTGATGATTTACACATGTACATAAGATAAGACTTGCAATTTGTAAAACTGTACTGTGTTTGGTAATAAAACATTTACATTTGTATCCAAATTCATGACCCTGCTACTCTCTAATATGGTTTTCTAACAGACAACAATTGTAACAATGTTGCATCTTAAGCAGTCAGTGAAAAATCTAATAAGCTTTTAATAGCACAAAACTAGACTAATTATCGAATCGACAGGAGTGAATGACTACACATGTTAAGTCAGTCTAATATGTGCATTTGATGACTAGTTTAGTTTTGGGTGGTTCTAAAACAATTATTAAACTCACTGAAAGACCAAATTTAGCCTTGTTTTAATCAAAATGTCAATGTTTAGACGCCAAAAAAATGTAAAAATGCTTTGTGGGCAAAGTTATCAACGCTGGTTGCTATATTTAAAAAGAACACCAATTTTACAACTATACTAGAAATAAACTTAGAAAAAAAACTTAGATTTTTTTGTTGATAATTTCTCTTTTTAAACCTCTACTCTTTTATCATTACATGGTGCACTTAGATTAATGTCAAATTAAAAGTTGCTTTGTTCTAGGTCAGTATGGCTAGGATCTATACTCCCAATTCGGCGTTATAATCAAGGTACTGTAATGTTATACAATGTACAAAATACAGTTCCAAGCCATATCAACATCTAATTTAACACACAATTTAAATACAAAAGTCAAGCTTTAAATAAAAAAAAATATATTTTTTTTGAGTGAAATGCTAATGCTTTAATGCAGAGATGCCCAAAATAGGGCCCATTTGGCCCACCATCTAATTTGAAAAGAGAAAGAGAATGATGGATGTGGCGAAAGCTTTTGACAGAGATTGTTATTTTGATTTGAATGTAACCCTTTGCTGAGCTTACAAAAAAAGGCAACTGAAAATAAAAGTTTCTATCAAACGTTGTAAATTAATCAGATTTTAAAATGGAAAAAATGTCACTTGACAAAAAGCAACACAGAAGACATTGGCGAGCAAATCAAGGAAAAGGCGGGCGCAGGTCGACAAGTGTTTTCAGCATTGAACTCCATTGTGGAAGAAATAAGATTGTTTTTACTGTCATAATAACTTTGTTATAAAATGTTAAATATTATACTGCATTATTTGACTCATTATTTGATTATTTGACTCAAATCAACATTTTTATGTTATTGTTAAATATTAGCAAGAAAATTAGGAAATAACCCATAGCAAAGTTTATGTTATAAAATGCAACATTTTCCGTTTCGGCCAACATCCCTCAATCAACTTTGGTTTTTGGCCTTTTGTAAGAAAAAGTTTGGGCAGGCCTGATATAATTAATGTAACTGAATGGATTAAGAAATAAATCTCAACTAGTTAACTCCAGTTACTTGTAAAATTAATTATTTAAAAAAAAGCGTTATTTTAAGCATCATTCCCAAGTACATGCTGGACTTTAGGGCAGTTCACATCTGTATTGTATAATGTTTTACTATAGGACTCACTGCTAATGTTAAATGCCCCTATACCATTACTAAAACAAATCTAATGAGGGTTAGTACTGTTGTATAGAGCTGCAGATTGAGATATTATGATCAAATATGGTAAAATTCTAGTTAACTAGTCGTTTAAGAAAACTGAACTACAGCATTGCAAGCTTTAAATCCACACACTTCTACCTGTCAGGAGAGCAAGCTTGCTGTCCAATAACAATAATTTACAAACTTGGGAAAATATATCAATCTTTGTTTATTCATAAACAATCCAATTCACACTTTCCCATTCTCCATTGCCAAATAAGCTCATGTGCGTGTCTGCAATAACACATACATCTTAGATGCAACAAAAACTGCACAATTGGTAGACTTGAATGTGTTTAGGACAGTGTGCTGTAAGGTTTGGATTTAAGGTAATGCTGGAAATAATGTTCAGTTTCTTGAAACACACAGAACTTTTAGCTTCATAGACGCGAAGGTGAAATGTTGACTGCATGACTCTTTAAAGTGCCAGTAACTTTGACCTACATTTTATAAAAACACCAATGACTACACTTTTAACTACAAATTCTTAATTTTCCATTTAAAATATTAAATAAGTCACCTACATCTCGAATGGCTTTTTGACTTTTTTTTCAATTTAATCACTATAACAAAGCATTGTTAAAACTTTTATTTACACAAGCATATTTCAATTGCATACCTCCACAAAATCTCTCCAATTTTTCCTCCACACAATGCATTCTTTTCAAATCAACAAAAAGCCAACCCTAATAAATCTGAAATGAATTCAAATTCTCACAGGTAGTTTATAACAGTACTAAAGTCCATTATTTGAACTTACCTGAACATTAACACGTTAATCAGGAATCAAGGCTCAGCATCAAAAAAGGCACAAAGCAAAATATACAGTCCACAAAGCACAAGAACCACTCGAGACGTTCAGAACAAAAAGTACAAAAGCTCAACCCAAATGAAAAAAAATGTGAATAAACAACCGTGAACTTATGGGCTTCTGAAAAGACCCATTGCAAGCAGATTCAAAGCATCAAAACCAGCGTTTGAGAGCAATCCCACTTGACCTGCTTTGATAAAAATGCACAGAGAATGTGGAGATCTATTTGAAAACAAGGACAGAAGCTGTAAGCATTTGCTTCTTGGAAAATCTTCTTAAAAGCTTTTATGCAAGATCTTATTTGCCATCATAAACCACAGCCAAAACAAGAGACATTCCACAAGCAATTTTCCTCTTTAACATTTTTATCGTAAGAAATTGCCTTTATAAAGCTACCTGTGGCATTTTCATGTCTTTTTGATCCATTCACAATTAAAATGGGTTCTGGGTAATGCTTTAGGCATGAGGTACAATAAATCTAGCTTGTTTTTAATTACAATACAAGCTAAATTAATTTATTTCTGCTCACATTATGTATTTTTCCACCACAACCCCCAATTTACCTGCATGATTTTTACCTCAAATGCTGATAGCAGAAAATCTGAAACAATTAAAAATAGTGCCTGCTCCAAATATTTAATATAACACATTGTCGTAAAAGGTTGATGATCCTATATTGTGACAACAGTCTAAAGCAACAAGAGACACATCTTTAGAGGAAAAAAAAATCAATTATACATATGCAGTTCAATATGAGAAACAAGAAAGTCAAAGCAAAACATTTTATTGTTAATATCTGTACTGAAGGAAAAAGAAGGACAGGACAGAATACAATACCTTTAAATGGTCATCATTTCAGGAATGGCATTTTATTGACAAAATAGTTCAGCTGGAAAGTATTTACAAGAGAAAAGCGCTGGAACGTCAAAAAACAAAACAAAAAGTATAACAACTGATCCATATTAGACATTTTAAAACAAGCCAAACCTCCAAAAAAAAAAAAAAAAAAAAAGAAGTGAAAGCTATCAAACACCACAGCAACATGTTATGAAGACAGCTAAGCAAAGAGAGTAAAATGCTTTCATATACATTATATTACAATGCTGCAATTGCTTCACATCTCCGCCTAGCATTTACAATAAATTCATGGTTTGACATCAGGCTTTTAGCACAATCCAACATGACAGCAACAGAAAATGATAAAGACATGACAGTTGCCTTTTATTGACATAGAAAAAAAAACTTTGCAGCAGAGCAAACATTGAAATTGAAGTGTGAGCATGTATTCAACAATGCATGGCAGCACTTTTTTCTTTACCTCAGAAGAAAACTCGGCATGGAGCATATACATATGTGTAAACCTTGAGCACAAATGCAAAACAATAATTCTGGGATGTAAGCAACTAATCCTCTGCGCAGCTATTAAACTCTACTAAACATACATACCACTATAAAGATGCCCCTTATTCAGATCTGCATATGCAAACAAACACATTATTGGCCTAAAGTCTTAAACAATGCTGTTTGAAGTTTTAAAATAAACAGTCTTTTCTCAGTTATGTCATGCTTCATGTAACGACAGTCTTGGATAAATAATGTGGCCATTGAAAAAGAATCTAATACTTGTCAGCTTCTTCTTCTGTACATAAAAACAACAAGATTAGTCAGTTTTTCAAAAAAACAGTGTCAAAAGAAAAGACACATTGCGATGACAAAGTTCTTGTTTTTATCCCAAAGTGATCTTAACTTTTCTTGCCCCAATAGGCCTATCATTCAAGTCCATAACAGCAGCCATAGCTTCATCATGGGAATCAAAAGCAACCATTGCTTCCCCAGTGGGCAAACCTTTATCACTGAATTGCAAGCATACAGAACCAGGCAAAACTTGATAGCCATAGAAGAAATCGATGATCTCATCCACAGTCACAGTAAATGGCATGTTTTGAATTTTGACAATTGTAGGCCGTGAATTACCTGGACCACCAGGGGATGGTCCTCTAAGATTGTCAGAAGGTGGCCTCTGACCTTGATTCCCAGCGCGATTTTGAGTGACAGCTTTACGAGAAGACCCATTATCAAATGGTGGCATCACCCTTAAAGGCTCTGGTGCGCCAACAAAACCAGGTGGTGCCGTATTGACACTGGGTCTGAAACCAGGGTGCTCTAGAATAGGACCAGGCAGAGGTCCTCCAACCATAGGTGGTGGAACACTAAGCGAGACGTCAGCCAAAGCTGTGCCAAGGGGGGGCAAAGGTGGCGGACATGTCAGACCATTGCCTGGAGCAACAAACGGGTTGACAAAAGGAGGACCATTTCCAAGAGTCCCTACAGCATTTCTTAGAAAACTGAACTCATCGCCTGTCATTGTTGGAAAAGCGTGAGGTGCCTGGGGAACTTGGGCTTGGGGTTGAACATGAGCATGTGCATGGACATGTGAATGGAGATGAGCATGGGCATTTTGTTGGGATTTCTGTCCTCTTTTTGCTTGCGGAGGTGGATTTCTTTCAACTTCTTTCATCTGGTCAAAAGTAACCAAATGAACAAAGGCATCCCTGCCATTCAATTTCTGCCTATGCAGCCTCTCGGCTTTAAGTGCATCCTCATCTGACTTAAACTGCACAATAGCTTGGCCAAGACCATTACCATTAGAGTCAACTAGCACCTTAAGACTTTCTTCAAACAACTCTATGCCATCAAGAAACAGTCGAACATCTTTTTTTGTCACGTTATAGGGAATATTGGTTATGTGAGCACAACTCTTGGCACTCTTTCCCCCTCCAGAACTACTCTTTTGATCACCCTGAGAGCCCTGCATTCGTTTGCGAATGGCATCAATCTTTTCATACATGTTTTTCTTTGTGATTGGATGCACTTGTATGAAACGACTACCCATGTACTGCATATGGCATCCAAGAGCAGCTTTATAGTCCATTTCATTTCTAAACTCAACAAATCCCTCACCAGTTGCCCTGCCATTGGGTCCATATGCAATGTAAATGCTATCTTCAACAATGTCAAGATTTTTGAAAAACTCAAAGATCTGCTTATTTTCTGCTTCATATGGGAGTCCTTTCAAATATACACAATAGTCTAGTTTGTGAGGAGATCGGGATCTGGCTCGCTCACCACTAGAGGGTGTTGGCGAATTAGCGCTTCTGCGGCGATGTCTGTTGTGTTCACTGTCTCCACCTGCTTTAGAATGTCCAACACTCTCTCTCCACTGTCGCTCTGTAGCTGGAGAAACCTCAATATATCTTTGGCCAATCATTCCTGCGTTTCTTTTCAGGGCTTCAAAAGACTCATGTGGCGAGTAGAACTTAACCAATGCCCTGCCACTGTTTCTACCCAAGTTGTCTTTGAGCAAACGAATAGACTCGATTCCAAGTCCATGGAAAAAATCTCTAATCTCATGTTCAAGGACTGAAAAGGGAAGGCCATGCAGATGAACGTAAAAGTCATCTGGGTTTGTAATGGCTGATTTCATGTGAGGTTGGAGGTTCAGGGGGTTTAGAGGGTTTAACGGATTCAGGAACATTGGATTGGAATTTCCGAGAGACAGTGGACCAGAGGCAGCTAAACCACCAGGGACGGGGCCAACAGGTGGAGGAATGCCTGGGTTGAATGGTGGAAGCGCAGACAGGTGAGGCATGTGTGCAATGGGAGGGACTTGAGGCACTGATGTTAGTGGATTAACAGTTGGTACTGGTGGCAATGCAGATACTGGTGGTGGTACTGGTATAGGGGGCATTGGTGGTAGTGTTGGCATGGCGGGCAACGGAGGTATTGGGGGAGGTACAGAATTCAAGGATGACATTGCTGTTGTCATTGTGGATCCCAAACTAAGGCTTGGGCTGGTGAAATTATTAAAGTTTGGGGGCATGCTGCCCATGGTTGTGGTTGAAAAGGTAGGGACAGTCTTGTTGCTAACAGGCTCATGTGTTGACACTGCTGTTGTGGAAGTAGTAGAAGTTGTGTTACTAAACCCTTGTGCTGTGGTAGGCAAGTTGCCCCTTCCACTTCCACCAGTGCTAACAGGTGGCCCAGGCCTACTGCCATTTCCTGCGGCAACATCTGCGCTACCAGTTTCAAAGCGCCTACGACTCAGCTCAATCATATTTTGCATTTCAGTTTTGCTACTCAGCAACAGAGACACCTTGGAACCTTTGATTGACCCCCCTGTGCGCATCATTCCAAGCCTCGCATCTTCATCTGTGGCGAACACGATAAAAGCCTCACCGTGTTCACCCCCTACAATATGCACACCACCATCCGGGATGGTCAATCCAGAGAAGAAATGGCGTATATCCATAGTCCCAGCCACAATGGGGAGACCCTGCAAACGGATGACCACAGCCATGCTGAGGTGCAACAACACACACCTGTAGATGAAAGAAGGCAACGACTGTCAGGCTATGGTAAAAGTAAAAAGATAACACAGAACCAGAATTCAAACCACAAAAAAAATCAATAAATAAACAGCAAGACTAAATTATCTAAATAAATAAAATAAAAAAATCATGTCAACAGCAAAATATATAGAGCTTGATTTTTTTAAAACACAGCAAAGCCCATTTGAAACAAAGATTCTGAGCTCAACACACCATTTAGTGGTTTTACCGTTGTAGCCAAAGCATACAAGCATTTCACTTTATAGCATGCAACAACAATTTAGTACACAACAGAATCTAAAAACATGGACTCAACTGAACAAAACACTTAAAACATTTTTTTAAACATTCAAATCACTAAATAAAACATTGTTAAACTTGACAAATGCCTGTGGTTTAAAGGAGAACTAAAGTCAAAAATTTCAAATATGCCAAATTAACAATCACCACTAACAACATTAATATAGGGGTCTTTTGTATTAAGCAAATATCATGTAGCTAGGTGTTTTTCACAAGGATCCATATCACTCCAGCTTAGAACTGCACGATTAATCTTTAAAAAAAGACAGCTATCTCAATTTGACACCCCACATTATCTTAATCCAGCATTAATACAAATCAGAAAATTACAGGAGATAGGCATAAAGGGGGTCACACGTCTTTACATACATTTTCTATACGTTGCCAAGCATGCAGACAAACATGTGACGAAATGGCGTTGAAGGAGTCAGCTTACTGTATTGATAAGGTATAATTCACAAAAACATAAATTCTGTCTATGTACTGTGGCATAATGATGTATTTGGGTTTATTAACATCCAGCTTGTTGCACAGAGCGATCATTTAGCTTTGTAAAAGCTCAGTCAAAGGATGTGCATTGTGATTAGTAACTGATTTGAATGCATGTTTTTCCAACTGACATAATTGGTATTACACAGAAAAAGAAAGCGCTAAGAATATGGTCTTATTTTATTAACATTTTGCTTAAGAGCATGATGCACATGGTTAAATATTTCTTTGAAAATCGTAAAAATGAAAATCTGTAAAAGGACAATTATATATTTTCGAAAAAAAAAAATCTAATTTTATCCAGAATCATACAGCTCTACTCCAGAATATTTAGTTATATTATATAACCATGTCCACTACATTGAGACTTTTTCGTAATGAGCTTATAAACCAAATCTGTTTTCAAAAAAAAAAAGTGGAGCAGTGCTTTGGGCGCCCGACCAAACTAATGGTGCAGAAAACTCTACACATTTTCTGTCTTGAATCACAAGATTCTCACACCTTTTGGCCAATGAATTTCCATTGTTTTTTTTAATCATGCGTAATTGATGCATAAGCATTCTTAAAATCAAAAGGCAATTTATAACTTGAGTTCCAAACTTGAATTCATAATGAGGCAAGCACCAACAGAAATTATTAATTTTTCCAGACTCATAAAAACCACTTAGCTTTTTTAAAATTGCAATAACCTGAAAGAAAATTTAGCAACAAAATTCCTATTGTCCCACAAAGCATTAGTATAAATATTATGACAAAAAATATATATTTTAAACCAATCGCAACTATTAAATACTACAATGCTATATTACTCTAGACAACAATAAAAATGTCTACACTCCAAAGTCAATTCTTTCTTTTAATGTTTTATTTATTTTTTAGACCATTAAGAACGGTAATTCTACACCAAATATTTAACGGACAGATCCCTCAAATGCTTACCTGTATTAAACGTGCTGCTTCGTTACAAGATGCACAGGACACCCAAGCCAATCCTGACGGCAATCATTTAAAATCAATTCTTGACTGTAATAAAAAGAATAAATGGAGGGAAATATATGTAAACAGCATTAGAACAAGTGTACCCATAAGAGTCTCCAAGAAAACCATTCATTGCCAGCCATTTCCAGCCCATTTAGTATAACATACTGTGAATCAGCAAAAAAATTTATTAATCCACCACTTGTGCATAGACGATGGCCAGCTGCTTCGCAAAAGCCATACACATTAAAAATTAAAACGCATGCATGTCATGTTTCATGACTCCCAGCAAACATCCACATTAAACAGCATCACACGTTAAACACATTTTTGAACATTTCCCATTTCAAATGTGAAAAAGAATATAACATGTCAAAGCATATTAAGCTACAAAAACAGGTTGAGACTGTCCATGTAGTGAAGTAAAAGTTGTGAATAATGTGTAAAAATGAACTTAGACAACACCTTTAAATGCATCTAGCTTGAGCTCGTTTCAACCTAACTTGTGCATTATTAATCTGAACTTTAAACATTGCAAAAAACAAAAAAGCCTGTTTGACTATAAATTACAGCAAATGTTAAGAAATCTTTCTACTCTACCATACTAGACATGTTAAATTAACCTTCAACTCACTCACATTCAGCTTATTCCACTCATTATAAGGGGTCACCAAAGCCAGCAGAATGAGCCACCAACGATATCCACAACAATTGAAAAAGTTACACATTCAAAAAGAAAACAAATGTGTCCATTCAATAAAAGTAGACATGGGCAAATAAATACACACCTTTTTTATTATAAACTATAAAAATAAAGACTTTTAATTTTAATCAAGGATCAAATTAAGAATATTATCTAAATTAGAATCTGAGCTTGTGAATAAGAGTCCAACTGCCACATCTGAATCAATGCCCCACAACTGAAAGACTACTGTTCCCTCCATGCAATCAAACTTTAAAATCAAAATAATCCGTTTATGGTTCAGTTCTTTGCAATTTTGGATATGCAACAATAACAAGTTTTAACTGAAACAAAGGGGCACAAATTACACTATTTTATTTTTGAGGTGAACTGCTTAATAAAAATGCATTGAAGTACTTTCTACCAGAAACCTCAAAAACTTACAGCACTTAGTGTCCAAAAATCACAGAGTTCAGAAATACAAGACCAGCAATGCCTCAGGAATTCTGCCAGATCTTACACACCAAGTGAAAGCAGGTCAATAACCATGTAAACAAACCTAAATACATTTAGGCCAACCTACTAAAACCCAAATCCTCACAATAAGACTTCAGGGATGATGCCTGTTAAATTGTTTAAACATATTAGAGACACAATTATTAATTTCTGTTGGAGCAACGCTTTTAACAAGATTTAAATATAAAAAAATAAAAATAACTCCCCAATATCAGAATAAATGTATATATTTTTAAATAACGTTTAAGATGAAACAAGCCATCAAAATACAACGTTTGCAGCGTGCTTATACAAGGAACCACTGAAATAAGAAAGTATAGCAGAAAACAACAAAAATGGGCAAGCATAACCAGGTGTTCAAGAAAAGTTTTGAAACACAGCACTCTGATTTTTTTATATTATTTAGTTAAATAGAGGTAACAATAACATCCATGGCATGGCGTCATAAGCCATTCAAACCTCAAAACCAGCGACACGACAAAATGGCGCCGTCTGTATCTGCCACCGCAAATGGACCGATGCCGTCTTCAGCAGAAACAAAGCTCGGAAATACTTTCTCATTACTTGATCAAACACAGCACTTTTCAGACACCAAAACAATACAACAATTGCACATAAAAGCACAAATGCCTGGCTAGCTGCGTTTTGCCCATTTAAACAAAACTATGTAACGTTAGTCTGCTTACGGCTCACAATCACCCTGCCCTCCGTGACATTTAGAAAACCACTGCATTTTAGCAAATGTCGGGAGTGTTGTGTGTAAAAAATACGTTTGTGTGAACTGGTGTTCTTTGCATATTCTTACCGAAATAATTTGTCTTAAATTATCTTTTTTAAATAATAAAGACGAGGCGCTCCTGTTGTGTTCTTCCACCTCTTGATCTTCTGCGTCTGGTCGTGCTCAATCTGTTCAGTTTCAACGCTGGGACTACGCATGCGCTGCTATGGGCCAATCTGTAAACGCACTGCAGTGACGTAAAGCGGAGGAGGCGGGTCTAGATAGATGGATGGATAGATGGATGGATGGATGGATTTATTTATTTATTTAATTTTTTATTTATTTTTATGTTCTGCATCACTGTCTAAGTTTTTTATGACTGTTACATAGGTCATCATATAATCCTGTACTTTTGTCAGTTAATAAAAAAGACAGATAGATAGATAGATAGATAGATAGATAGATAGATAGATAGATGTATAGATAGATGTACATTTTCTCAGACAAGCTAATAGAGTGAAGTAAACTCTTAATATATATATATATATATATATATATATATATATATATATATATATTTTTTTTTTTTTTTTTTTTTTTTTCCGAGACTTTTAATTTGACAGCTAGTAAAGGAAGTACTTATAATTTACTTCCTGTTCTGTACTCATGTGGGAAGTCCACGCGGGTGGTTTTTGGTCTGTTTTCACCCTGTTGTATCTTGCTTGATGAGCGATATTCTATTAGGGAACTATTGTAATAATCAGGTAATTAGATTAAACAGTACTTTTATAACTCTTCGGCAAAATGGTCCGAGCAAGAAGGTAGGTAATGTTTACTTACTTTTAAATGTTTTCTTTTCTGCACGTTAAGGCAATGATATAACTTCGATCTCTCGGGGCGTTAAACATATAAAAACACGATTTAAGACCGTCTAATATGTATACATAGACAAATTGTATATTTGCACATGGATAATGATACAGGAGTGCAGGAGTATTTCAAATTCTGACACTTGCACATTATGTCAGCACAAACGTCTATAGCAATTCAGATCTTTATAATTTAACCATTACATTGTACTAATTTAGTTAATGCTTTATCCATTTCAAAGGGCAGTAAAGAAGCCTAGAACAAAAAAGCAACAAGAATACGACAGTGATGATCCTGAAGCGTATACAAATGAAGCCATTCCTGATAAGGTACATTTTTGAGTTAAACTTTGCTTGCATTATTAATGTGCGCCTTATAATTGTAACTTTGTCGTATTTTCCCTTTCAGAAATCTTCATCTTATGTGGAAGATAAAGTA